TGTGCTCACTAGCTCTGTGTGGACCTGTGCTCACTAGCTCTGTGTGGACCTGTGCTCAGCTCTGTGTGGACCTGTGCTCACTAGCTCTGTGTGGACCTGTGCTCACTAGCTCTGTGTGGACCTGTGCTCACTAGCTCTGTGTGGACCTGTGCTCACTAGCTCTGTGTGGACCTGTGCTCACTAGCTCTGTGTGGACCTGTGCTCACTAGCTCTGCGTGGACCTGTGCTCACTAGCTCTGTGTGGACCTGTGCTCACTAGCTCTGTGTGGACCTGTGCTCACTAGCTCTGTGTGGACCTGTGCTCACTAGCTCTGTGTGGACCTGTGCTCATTAGCTCTGTGTGGACCTGTGCTCACTAGCTGTGCGTGGACCTGTGCTCATTAGCTCTGTGTGGACCTGTGCTCACTAGCTCTGTGTGGACCAGGGTTTCCGTTAGCCGGTAATTACCGGTTTTTAGCTGGTAACATTTATTAAAAACCGGTAAATTCAAAACCTGCCGGTCAAAATGTCTGGTAATAATTAGGGATGCTCCGATAGATCGGCCGCCGGTCATTATCGGCCGATATTCACTCTTAATAGTTTGATCGGTGCTCTCTATAAAGAACGATCAGGAGAGCTGGATCTGATCGATATGGACATAAACGCGAGTGAAGTATAACCGGACACGAGAGAGAGATCAGATCAGCTGCTGAGTCAGACAGAGACACGCAGCTCTGCATGATCACCTGAAGCCCCGCCTCTGTTTAGCTGCATGAGAAACTGACGGGCTGTCAGGAGAGAGAGGGAGAGAGAGAGGGGAAAAGAGAAGATCCGTTTCTCCCGTGTTATTATTCAAAGTTAATGTAAACTTTTGAATAATGTACGTTATCTACTACAAGTAGTTTGTTTGAATGTAATAATTATGTTGTTTGTTGTTTGTGGAATCATTTATTGGAAAATGAATCTGAATTTTTCGATCTGTTACGATTATAAACTGAAGCAATATAAAAACGAGCCCCGTGAACTGAGTTTTAAACATCAGCATATCCGGTCCTAGTCCGGTAATTACCTGCTAACGGAAACTCTGCTACACCATTCTTATTATTATTAGTGAAATATGACCGGTAAGTTTCAAATTTGTCCGATATAATTAATTCTGCCCGGACATTTGACCGGCGAGAAAAAATCCTAGCGGAAACCCTGGTGTGGACCTGTGCTCACTAGCTCTGTGTGGACCTGTGCTCACTAGCTCTGTGTGGACCTGTGCTCACTAGCTCTGTGTGGACCTGTGCTCACTAGCTCTGTGTGGACCTGTGCTCACTAGCTCTGTGTGGACCTGTGCTCACTAGCTCTGTGTGGACCTGTGCTCACTAGCTCTGTGTGGACCTGTGCTCACTAGCTCTGTGTGGACCTGTGCTCACTAGCTCTGTGTGGACCTGTGCTCACTAGCTCTGTGTGGACCTGTGCTCACTAGCTCTGCGTGGACCTGTGCTCACTAGCTCTGCGTGGACCTGTGCTCACTAGCTCTGCGTGGACCTGTGCTCACTAGCTCTGCGTGGACCTGTGCTCACTAGCTCTGTGTGGACCTGTGCTCACTAGCTCTGTGTGGACCTGTGCTCACTAGCTCTGTGTGGACTGTGCTCACTAGCTCTGTGTGGACCTGTGCTCACTAGCTCTGTGTGGACCTGTGCTCACTAGCTCTGTGTGGACCTGTGCTCACTAGCTCTGCGTGGACCTGTGCTCACTAGCTCTGTGTGGACCTGTGCTCACTAGCTTTGCGTGGACCTGTGCTCAGCTCTGTGTGGACCTGTGCTCACTAGCTCTGTGTGGACCTGTGCTCACTAGCTCTGCGTGGACCTGTGCTCACTAGCTCTGTGTGGACCTGTGCTCAGCTCTGTGTGGACCTGTGCTCAGCTCTGCGTGGACCTGTGCTCACTAGCTCTGTGTGGACCTGTGCTCACTAGCTCTGTGTGGACCTGTGCTCACTAGCTCTGTGTGGACCTGTGCTCACTAGCTCTGTGTGGACCTGTGCTCACTAGCTCTGCGTGGACCTGTGCTCACTAGCTCTGCGTGGACCTGTGCTCACTAGCTCTGTGTGGACCTGTGCTCAACTAGCTCTGCGTGGACCTGTGCTCAGCTCTGTGTGGACCTGTGCTCACTAGCTCTGTGTGGACCTGTGCTCACTAGCTCTGTGTGGACCTGTGCTCACTAGCTCTGCGTGGACCTGTGCTCACTAGCTCTGCGTGGACCTGTGCTCACTAGCTCTGCGCGGACCTGTGCTCACTAGCTCTGTGTGGACCTGTGCTCACTAGCTCTGCGTGGACCTGTGCTCACTAGCTCTGTGTGGACCTGTGCTCACTAGCTCTGTGTGGACCTGTGCTCACTAGCTCTGTGTGGACCTGTGCTCACTAGCTCTGCGTGGACCTGTGCTCACTAGCTCTGCGTGGACCTGTGCTCACTAGCTCTGTGTGGACCTGTGCTCACTAGCTCTGCGTGGACCTGTGCTCATTAGCTCTGTGTGGACCTGTGCTCACTAGCTCTGTGTGGACCTGTGCTCACTAGCTCTGTGTGGACCTGTGCTCACTAGCTCTGTGTGGACCTGTGCTCACTAGCTCTGTGTGGACCTGTGCTCACTAGCTCTGTGTGGACCTGTGCTCACTAGCTCTGTGTGGACCTGTGCTCACTAGCTCTGTGTGGACCTGTGCTCACTAGCTCTGTGTGGACCTGTGCTCACTAGCTCTGTGTGGACCTGTGCTCACTAGCTCTGTGTGGACCTGTGCTCACTAGCTCTGCGTGGACCTGTGCTCACTAGCTCTGCGTGGACCTGTGCTCACTAGCTCTGCGTGGACCTGTGCTCACTAGCTCTGCGTGGACCTGTGCTCACTAGCTCTGTGTGGACCTGTGCTCACTAGCTCTGTGTGGACCTGTGCTCACTAGCTCTGTGTGGACCTGTGCTCACTAGCTCTGTGTGGACCTGTGCTCACTAGCTCTGTGTGGACTGTGCTCACAGCTCTGGTGGTGGACCTGTGCTCACTAGCTTTGCGGTGTGACCTGTGCTCAGCTCTGTGTGGACCTGTGCTCACTAGCTCTGTGTGGACCTGTTGCTCACTAGCTTCTGCGTGGACCTGTGCTCAGCTCTGTGTGGACCTGTGCATACTAGCTCTTGGGACCTGTGCTCAATAGCTCTGTGTGGGACCTGTGCTCACTAGCTCTGCGTGGACTGTGATCATAGCTCTGCGTGGACCTGTGCTCACTAGCTCTTGCGTGGACCTGTGTCTCACTAGCTCTGTGTGGACCTGTGCTCACTAGCTCTGCGTGGGACCTGTGCTCGCTCTGTGTGGACCTGTGCTCACTAGCTCTGTGTGGACCTGTGCTCAGCTCTGTGTGGACCTGTGCTCACTAGCTCTGTGTGGACCTGTGCTCACTAGCTCTGTGTGGACCTGTGCTCACTAGCTCTGCGTGGACCTGTGCTCACTAGCTCTGCGTGGACCTGTGCTCACTAGCTCTGCGTGGACCTGTGCTCACTAGCTCTGCGCGGACCTGTGCTCACTAGCTCTGTGTGGACCTGTGCTCACTAGCTCTGCGTGGACCTGTGCTCACTAGCTCTGTGTGGACCTGTGCTCACTAGCTCTGTGTGGACCTGTGCTCACTAGCTCTGTGTGGACCTGTGCTCACTAGCTCTGTGTGGACCTGTGCTCACTAGCTCTGCGTGGACCTGTGCTCACTAGCTCTGTGTGGACCTGTGCTCACTAGCTCTGTGTGGACCTGTGCTCACTAGCTCTGCGTGGACCTGTGCTCACTAGCTCTGTGTGGACCTGTGCTCACTAGCTCTGTGTGGACCTGTGCTCACTAGCTCTGTGTGGACCTGTGCTCAGCTCTGTGTGGACCTGTGCTCACTAGCTCTGTGTGGACCTGTGCTCACTAGCTCTGTGTGGACCTGTGCTCACTAGCTCTGTGTGGACCTGTGCTCACTAGCTCTGTGTGGACCTGTGCTCACTAGCTCTGTGTGGACCTGTGCTCACTAGCTCTGTGTGGACCTGTGCTCACTAGCTCTGTGTGGACCTGTGCTCACTAGCTCTGCGTGGACTGCTCTGCTGGTCATGCAACAGAAGACCACTCCCCAGACCTTCAGTGTTGTCTTTTCTTGACGTCATCGTTCCCATGATGGGGTCCAAAGAGGTCTGCTGTTGTAAACTAGACAGGCAGGCTCTGTTCTTTCTGTTGGCAGGTCTCCCATCATTTGTTGACATATCTTTGCCTTGGCTTTTCTGCAGTCTATGCAGCCATCAACAACCTTTTGAGCAAGTGTTCTTCCTCGTATGATCCATGCCTTCTTTCTCACTGTCAGCAAGGTTCCAGCCACGCCATCAGGTCCAGCATTGTGCGCCTCTCGAGTCAGCAACATTGATACCCAGGAATCATAAGGTAACATGTGGTCTTCATTGAAGCCTTGGAATCTGCCCCCACAAAGCGAAAGCCCAGAGACCTTGTCCCTGTAGACTACGAGCCTGTCTGTGGTGGCGTTAGAGAACGACCTGCTTGGGCTGACAGTAACATGTCTCGCATCTTCTCCCTCCTTTAGAGAGAGGACTCCCGAAGAGGATCCCGCCTCCACCTTTCACCTCTCCACAGACTTACTGGCTTTGAAGAACTGTGTTGCTGCCCTCCAGATAGCTGACCCTGCAGGTGGTCTCCTCTCTGTTTGGATCAGGTTCTGGATAGCTGACCCTGCAGGTGGTCTCCTCTCTGTTTGGATCAGGTTCTGGATAGCTGACCCTGCAGGTGGTCTCCTCTCTGTTTGGATCAGGTTCTGGATAGCTGACCCTGCAGGTGGTCTCCTCTCTGTTTGGATCAGGTTTCTGGATAGCTGACCCTGCAGGTGGTCTCCTCTCTGTTTGGATCAGGTTCTGGATAGCTGACCCTGCAGGTGGTCTCCTCTCTGTTTGGATCAGGTTCTGGATAGCTGACCCTGCAGGTGGTCTCCTCTCTGTTTGGATCAGGTTCTGGATAGCTGACCTGCAGGTGGTCTCCTCTCTGTTTGGATCAGGTTCTGGATAGCTGACCCTGCAGGTGGTCTCCTCTCTGTTTGGATCAGGTTCTGGATAGCTGACCCTGCAGGTGGTCTCCTCTCTGTTTGGATCAGGTTCTGGATAGCTGACCCTGCAGGTGGTCTCCTCTCTGTTTGGATCAAGTTCTGGATAGCTGACCCTGCAGGTGGTCTCCTCTCTGATTGGATCAGGTTCTGGATAGCTGACCCTGCAGGTGGTCTCCTCTCTGTTTGGATCAGGTTCTGGATAGCTGACCCTGCAGGTGGTCTCCTCTCTGTTTGGATCAGGTTCTGGATAGCTGACCCTGCAGGTGGTCTCCTCTCTGTTTGGATCAGGTTCTGGATAGCTGACCCTGCAGGTGGTCTCCTCTCTGTTTGGATCAGGTTCTGGATAGCTGACCCTGCAGGTGGTCTCCTATCTGATTGGATCAGGTTCTGGATAGCTGACCCTGCAGGTGGTCTCCTCTCTGTTTGGATCAGGTCTCCCTCTCTGACTATAGACACATCTGCTGGTCCCTGGCATCATGGATCACAAGCACCTTCACAGTTTGGTCCACGTTGTCATGCTCGTCCTCCATGTTGAAAAGAAAGAAAGAAAAGCATATTAACAAGAAGCTATTATACAATATAGGCTTAGTGGTCGAGCATTAAGCCTAATCTATACAACCAGGGATTGACTTTTTTTAAATGATTTGTAAAAATGTGTGGCAGCGATTAAAAATAAAACAAGATTTCTAACTTATATAAAAAATGACATTAATCAATGGAGTCAGAGTGGTTCATCAGACATTAATCAATGGAGTCAGAGTGGTTCATCAGACATTAATCAATGGAGTCAGAGTGGTTCATCAGACATTAATCAATGGAGTCAGAGTGGTTCATCAGACATTAATCAATGGAGTCAGAGTGGTTCATCAGACATTAATCAATGGAGTCAGAGTGGTTCATCAGACATTAATCAATGGAGTCAGAGTGGTTCATCAGACATTAATCAATGGAGTCAGAGTGGTTCATCATACATTAATCAATGGAGTCAGAGTGGTTCATCAGACATTAATCAATGGAGTCAGAGTGGTTCATCAGACATTAATCAATGGAGTCAGAGTGGTTCATCAGACATTAATCAATGGAGTCAGAGTGGTTCATCAGACATTAATCAATGGAGTCAGAGTGGTTCATCATACATTAATCAATGGAGTCAGAGTGGTTCATCAGACATTAATCAATGGAGTCAGAGTGGTTCATCAGACATTAATCAATGGAGTCAGAGTGGTTCATCAGACATTAAACAATGGAGTCAGAGTGGTTCATCAGACATTAAACAATGGAGTCAGAGTGGTTCATCAGACATTAATCAATGGAGTCAGAGTGGTTCATCATACATTAATCAATGGAGTCAGAGTGGTTCATCAGACATTAATCAATGGAGTCAGAGTGGTTCATCATACATTAATCAATGGAGTCAGAGTGGTTCATCAGACATTAATCAATGGAGTCAGAGTGGTTCATCAGACATTAATCAATGGAGTCAGAGTGGTTCATCATACATTAATCAATGGAGTCAGAGTGGTTCATCAGACATTAAACAATGGAGTCAGAGTGGGTTCATCAGACATTAATCAATGGAGTCAGAGTGGTTCATCAGACATTAATCAATGGAGTCAGAGTGGTTCATCAGACATTAAACAATGGAGTCAGAGTGGTTCATCAGACAGTAATCAATGGAGTCAGAGTGGTTCATCATACATTAATCAATGGAGTCAGAGTGGTTCATCAGACATTAAACAATGGAGTCAGAGTGGTTCATCAGACATTAATCAATGGAGTCAGAGTGGTTCATCAGACATTAATCAATGGAGTCAGAGTGGTTCATCAGACATTAATCAATGGAGTCAGAGTGGTTCATCAGACATTAATCAATGGAGTCAGAGTGGTTCATCAGACATTAATCAATGGAGTCAGAGTGGTTCATCAGACATTAATCAATGGAGTCAGAGTGGTACATCAGACATTAAACAATGGAGTCAGAGTGGTTCATCAGACATTAATCAATGGTGTCAGAGTGGTTCATCAGACATTAATCAATGGAGTCAGAGTGGTTCATCAGACATTAATCAATGGAGTCAGAGTGGTTCATCAGACATTAATCAATGGAGTCAGAGTGGTTCATCAGACATTAATCAATGGAGTCAGAGTGGTTTCATCAGACATTAATCAATGGAGTCAGAGTGGTTCATCAGACATTAATCAATGGAGTCAGAGTGGTTCATCAGACATTAATCAATGGAGTCAGAGTGGTTCATCAGACATTAATCAATGGAGTCAGAGTGGTTCATCAGACATTAATCAATGGAGTCAGAGTGGTTCATCAGACATTAATCAATGGAGTCAGAGTGGTTCATCAGACATTAATCAATGGAGTCAGAGTGGTTCATCAGACATTAATCAATGGAGTCAGGTGGTTCATCAGACATTAATCAATGGAGTCAGAGTGGGTCATCAGCAAAATTTTTTTTAACTCCTAATGGAGTCAGAGTGGTTCATCAGACATTAATCAATGGAGTCAGAGTGGTTCATCAGACATTAATCAATGGAGTCAGAGTGGTTCATCAGACATTAATCAATGGAGTCAGAGTGGTTCATCAGACATTAATCAATGGAGTCAGAGTGGTTCATCAGACATTAAACAATGGAGTCATAGTGGTTCATCAGACATTAATCAATGGTGTCAGAGTGGTTCATCAGACATTAAACAATGGAGTCAGAGTGGTCATCAGACATTAATCAATGGAGTCAGAGTGGTTCATCAGACATTAATCAATGGAGTCAGAGTGGTTCATCAGACATTAATCAATGGAGTCAGAGTGGTTCATCAGACATTAAACAATGGAGTCAGAGGGGTTCATCAGACATTAATCAATGGAGTCAGAGTGGTTCATCAGACATTAATCAATGGAGTCAGAGTGGTTCATCAGACATTAATCAATGGAGTCAGAGTGGTTCATCAGACATTAATCAATGGAGTCAGAGTGGTTCATCAGACATTAACAATGGAGTCAGAATGTTCATCAGACATTAATCAATGGAGTCAGAGTGGTTCATCAGACATTAATCAATGGAGTCAGAGTGGTTCATCAGACATTAATCAATGGAGTCAGAGTGGTTCATCAGACATTAATCAATGGAGTCAGAGTGGTTCATCAGACATTAATCAATGGAGTCAGAGTGGTTCATCAGACATTAATCAATGGAGTCAGAGTGGTTCATCAGACATTAATCAATGGTGTCAGAGTGGTTCATCAGACATTAATCAATGGAGTCAGAGTGGTTCATCAGACATTAATCAATGGAGTCAGAGTGGTTCATCAGACATTAATCAATGGAGTCAGAGTGGTTCATCAGACATTAAACAATGGAGTCAGAGTGGTTCATCAGACATTAATCAATGGAGTCAGAGTGGTTCATCAGACATTAATCAATGGAGTCAGAGTGGTTCATCAGACATTAATCAATGGAGTCAGAGTGGTTCATCAGACATTAAGAATGGAGTCAGAGTGGTTCATCAGACATAAATCAATGGAGTCAGAGTGGTTCATCAGACATTAAATCAATGGAGTCAGAGTGGTTCATCAGACATTAATCAATGGAGTCAGAGTGGTTCATCAGACATTAATCAATGGAGTCAGAGTGGTTCATCAGACATTAATCAATGGAGTCAGAGTGGTTCATCAGACATTAAACAATGGAGTCAGAGTGGTTCATCAGACATTAATCAATGGAGTCAGAGTGGTTCATCAGACATTAATCAATGGAGTCAGAGTGGTTCATCAGACATTAACATGGAGTCAGAGTGGTTCATCACATTAATCAATGGAGTCAGAGTGGTTCATCAGACATTAATCAATGGAGTCAGAGTGGTTCATCAGACATTAATCAATGGAGTCAGAGTGGTTCATCAGACATTAATCAATGGAGTCAGAGTGGTTCATCAGACATTAATCAATGGAGTCAGAGTGGTTCATCAGACATTAATCAATGGAGTCAGAGTGGTCATCAGACATTAATCAATGGAGTCAGAGTGGTTCATCAGACATTAAACAATGGAGTCAGAGTGGTTCATCAGACATTAAACAATGGAGTCAGAGTGGTTCATCAGACATTAATCAATGGTGTCAGAGTGGTTCATCAGACATTAAACAATGGAGTCAGAGTGGTTCATCAGACATTAATCAATGGAGTCAGAGTGGTTCATCAGACATTAATCAATGGAGTCAGAGTGGTTCATCAGACATTAAACAATGGAGTCAGAGTGGTTCATCAGACATTAATCAATGGAGTCAGAGTGGTTCATCAGACATTAATCAATGGAGTCAGAGTGGTTCATCAGACATTAAACAATGGAGTCAGAGTGGTTCATCAGACATTAAACAATGGAGTCAGAGTGGTTCATCAGACATTAATCAATGGAGTCAGAGTGGTTCATCAGACATTAATCAATGGAGTCAGAGTGGTTCATCAGACATTAAACAATGGAGTCAGAGTGGTTCATCAGACATTAATCAATGGAGTCAGAGTGGTTCATCAGACATTAATCAATGGAGTCAGAGTGGTTCATCAGACATTAATCAATGGAGTCAGAGTGGTTCATCAGACATTAATAATGGAGTCAGAGTGGTTCATCAGACATGAATCAATGGAGTCAGAGTGGTTCATCATCAGACATTAATCAATGGAGTCAGAGTGGTTCATCAGACATTAATCAATGGAGTCAGAGTGGTTCATCAGACATTAATCAATGGTGTCAGAGTGGTTCATCAGACATTAATCAATGGAGTCAGAGTGGTTCATCAGACATTAATCAATGGAGTCAGAGTGGTTCATCAGACATTAATCAATGGAGTCAGAGTGGTTCATCAGACATTAATCAATGGAGTCAGAGTGGTTCATCAGACATTAATCAATGGAGTCAGAGTGGTTCATCAGACAAATCAATGGAGTCAGAGTGGTTCATCAGACATTAATCAATGGTGTCAGAGTGGTTCATCAGACATTAATCAATGGAGTCAGAGTGGTTCATCAGACATTAACAATGGAGTCAGAGTGGTTCATCAGACATTAATCAATGGAGTCAGAGTGGTTCATCAGACATTAATCAATGGAGTCAGAGTGGTTCATCAGACATTAATCAATGGAGTCAGAGTGGTTCATCAGACATTAATCAATGGAGTCAGAGTGGTTCATCAGACATTAATCAATGGAGTCAGAGTGGTTCATCAGACATTAATCAATGGAGTCAGAGTGGTTCATCAGACATTAATCAATGGAGTCAGAGTGGTTCATCAGACATTAACAATGGAGTCAGAGTGGTTCATCAGACATTAACAATGGAGTCAGAGTGGTTCATCAGACATTAATCAATGGAGTCAGAGTGGTTCATCAGACATTAATCAATGGAGTCAGAGTGGTTCATCAGACATTAAACAATGGAGTCAGAGTGGTTCATCAGACATTAAACAATGGAGTCAGAGTGGTTCATCAGACATTAATCAATGGAGTCAGAGTGGTTCATCAG